TTCACAGCAGCCGAAACCCAAATATAACATACAAATCATGTCTTTCTTCAAAATAATCTAGTAGTAAAACCTACTTCAAACTTAGCATAGAAATAAATTCTTAGCATTAGTTGATAATAATAGTAATCTACTACCACAGAATCAAGAAGCTCTAACAGAAATGATTTGCCAGATGCTTGTGCTGCTGCAATACAGTCTGCATCTTCATTTCGGGATCCCGCCATCCTGGCCAAGTCTGCCAACTTGTAAAACAGAACAGCGACTGATACACGTGCATACAACTCTGTATTAATAAATGCCTGACAATAGAAGTGCCCAATTATTACAAAGTCATAAGGTTCAACAGTTTTTTCTTAAAATATACAATTGCAATTAATGGTAGTCAGCATATGTTAGTTAAGATAAAATGTATTAAATTCTTTAACAGATTCAGGTAATGAAACATATAACCAAATTAGACAAACCTTTATCATATGCTGACTACCATTAATTCAGGTAAAAACATATACCTAAAATGTATTAATTCTTTAAGAAATTCAGGTAGAGAAACATATAACTAAATTAGACAAATCTTTTAAATGTTAAGTAGCTCACTTCAGTAAGCTCGGGATCAGGACTACTGGCCAGTATAGAGACTTCCAGTCTAGCATCACTGTTGTCAGAAAGTTCAGCTTCAAAATCCTCATCAAATGCAACTGAAAGAGATAATCTCAAATTCATAAGATAATTTTGAAAATAAAACAATAGATTAGCAACTTAACATATTTATACAGAAAACTAACATATTTTCCGTACCTGATCCATACAGAGATAGCAACTTGAGTTCTTTCAGATAAAACTTTATAATCCTAGGATTTAAGAACCATAATCCTGTCAAGTGCAAAGCTGCAAGACGAATTGTACGAGGACTCTTTGTGCCCTCCTTTAGAAGATTTTCAATAAACTAAATGCATGACAATAATAAATTAGTCAATACTTGCAAGAAATTAGCAGAGATAATACACAGACAGGGAATTATACAAGAGAACACATACCCACTTCAGGGGTCCAGGTGCATTGTCTGTTTCGTGCATGCTCTCATCATTAAATACCAAAGGATGCATAATAGATGACAACAGAGCAGCAATTGATGCTACCCTTCGCTTATTGCAACTTACATGCAATATCCAAGAGGACCGAACCAAATTCCACATCATCTAATCAATGACAGCAATTATTTAAATCAGTGAGCACCGCTAGTGGGGTTAGGACAGGACAAGTATTCAACAAAATACAAATATCCATCATCCTAATTATAAAACATTAAACCATTTCAGGTGATGAAAACAAAAGTAAGAACAAATGAGCACCATTAATGGGCATAAGATGCATTGGTATGTAGGATTCTCATGTTCAGTATGCCAATTGTTAATATGCCTTAGTATGCCCAATGTGTGCAATATTATCTTGTTTCACTTGGCAACCGAACATTTTACAAAGCCACATTTAGCAAGTCCACAAACATTGGACATTCTTCAGAAGTATACTTTAAGCCTAACTAAACCTTACAAAATCAACTTTTAAGATGAAATTTGCACCCACTTATTTATTGTGAATTGACTTATCTCTAATAAATGTAAGAATCCCAACACACTCCCCTTACGTCGAGGTATATACATTTCGTGTGTGGGACTAAGCATTAATAGGTGATCCGAAATGGGTGGAACAACAAATCCAACACACAACAAATTTTGTTAGTATAAACTCTAACTCCTAGTTCTGATACCATATTAAGAAAAGGATTTTAAGTCTAACTTAACCTCATAAAACCGGCTTGTAAGGTAAAGTTTGCACTCACTTATATATTGTAAATTGGTCTTATCTCTAGTGATGTGGAACTTCCAACAGGCATCAAATGCCAAGTTTCAGAAAATTAGGAATTATGAGATCCCTAAATCACATATCGAATACAACGGGATGTTCAAGGAATTATTCAAGTGTATGGTTATTAGCTTTTAGGGTGGGCTCCCTAATGGTTATCAATTGGTAGCATATAATTGTTAGCATCTGGTTACCACATTGAGGGTTCGGACTAACGGAACATTCCAGCCAACAAGAATCTCAAGTGATATAATGCTTGAGCTACCAAAATGTAGGTTCTCAAAAGCGGTGCTATGATGAGGGTTGGATATTATGGGTTCCTAAGCCTCACACCAAGCAATGTGGGAATTTTATTGGAGTATTTAAGTACTTTGTTCTCCTCCCCCAACTCCACCTCCAACAACTAGCTTTCGTAGATGGGTTCCCTAAGTGCTTTAAGACATGTTAGTGGTAGTCTCATTTATATACCAACCATGAGAATGTTGATCAAGCACGCCTAGGCACCAATTGCCTTATAAGTTTGGATCTATCAATGATACAACAATATGATTACAATATTCCAATAGATAGTAATCGCACATATGCTCCATCAAAGCCATATACTATTGTTTGTAAGTCTTACACCAGCTACCTTGTCTTAAGAGTGCAGCTTTATTCCATTGGACACTTTGCTTAAGGCATCAATTTTGAGATGAAAATCAACCTAGTACCAGTGTCTATTGCTCTCTTCATATCGCCTCATTTTGGCCAGTACAATGGAGGGGCAGTGTTGGGGAATCCCGCATAACATGCCTCAATTAGGAGTATGGCTAATTCCACCAAATCAATTGGTTTAAGATAAATCTGACACTTTTCGCACTGTTAAATTAACAGAACCAGTAATCAAGGCTAGCTTATCAAGATCTTCAAAATTATCACAACAGCTACAAATGCTTTATACCAGGGCATGATGCTGACTGTCCCCCCCCCCACCCCCACCCCCCCCCCCCCCCCACCCCCCCCCCCCCCCCCCACCCCCCCCCCCCCCCCCCCCCCCCCCCCCCCCCCCCCCCCCCCCCCCCCCCCCCCCCCCCCCCCCCCCCCCCCCCCCCCCCCCCCCCCCCCCCCCCCCCCACCCCCCCCCCCACCACCCCCCCCCCCCCCCCCCCCCCCCCCCCCCCCCCCCCCCCCCCCCCACCCCCCCCCCCCCCCCCCCCCCCCCCCCCCCCCCCCCCCCCCCCCCCCCCCCCCCCCCCCCCCCCCCTTTTAAAACCAAGCTAGTTTGCCACAGGCAACAAGATAACCACTAATTCATTCATTCAATTAAGGCAAAAGTTAATTGCATGCAAACTAAACAACAAGCTACAATGTAAACCTGGGTGTCGATTAAGTGACAACGGGAAACAACTGTTTTTGACGTCACTTTAGCAACCAGCTCAAATAAACATTCTGACTGATCTCAGCATGGGTAGCACACAACTTTCTCCAGCATTTTCAAGACTGCAAAATGACTTTGAGTAAGATAAGCTCCATAAGACCAGGTAAACAGAAAAAACAATATATAGTCAACACATGCAAAACTCCCAAGGTATTATTGACACAAAAATTAATGATATTCACCATGTCTGGGATCTAATTCATAAATAAGCATATCCGCGACAAACAAATCACATAAAAATCACAACACCTTCCACTCCACACATGCACAATCGCATATAGACCTTACTGTACTTACCTCTCGACAAGGTCACCCAAAAATGCATTTTAGAGTGTCATCTGAGAACAATGCGTGGTTTTCCTCCAAATTAAACCCATTCTTTAGAGCATACGAAGGAATTGACAACAAGGATTCCAGGCAGGCCCACTGAATCATTAATAAATCAGTTAAAATCTTCTAATTTATTGTTTACCATCTTATAACTAGTGAAATAAACAGGTGCATTAACTGCTAAGGCTTTAATCATTAAATGGAACAGGTTAGTTAATATGCCAGGACACAGATAATGAATTCAGAAAATTTAAATTAGAATAACAAAAGAGAAATGAATATAAAATTTTGGACTCCAATTTTAATTTCCAAAAATCAAGATAATATGGAAACAAAAATATGTGCCATACGGCAAGAAGAAAGAATGGAACCTTAATATCCAACAAAACAGCTCCTTCGAGTTCTAGCCAAAACTCCTGACCCTAGGAGATTATTAATATTTGAATGAAAGACAGACACATAAAATCCAACCGAGGCCTTCCTTCTGCCTCTGAAACGTTTCCTCACTTTCCTCAACCACATAAAGAAAACGAGGAAAGAATGTTGAAGCAAAAACCCTGAGAATAGAAACCAATGCTTCATATGCTGCAAGAGAATTTTTCTGCTCCCATCTTGCAAAGACTACATAGCAACAAGTTATCCATCACCTTCAAAGTGACAGAATCAGAAAATTGGAAATTTTATAACAAGATAACTCATTTAATAAGAGAAGCTACTCTGAGCAAGAAGGTGAACACCTATATTCCTCCAGAAGAATTGCCACATACATGCAAAATCAGAACTATGTTGAAGCATGTCTTTTTGATTTGGTTACACCACAGAAGATAATGATATGCCTTTACTGACCATGTCTCTCGGTTTAAAACACGAAAAATCAGACACGATTCAAAGAAAAAGGTGTTGCAGATTGTAAAAAAGAGAAATGATTACTGATTAGTAGAAAAGTTAATGAATTGGTAATGATAGAGCTCATGGTTTCCACACTACTGTAATGCATACATGTCAGCATCAATGACAGTATTCATATTCTATAATAAAAAGAAACAAAATTACAGCAACAGATCATACAAATTCTAAAGAAAATCCTAATACGGAAGTTATGCAAAGTAACCTTTGAAGTTAAAACACTCGGTTCATTAAAGAATTTTCTTGGAATTGAACTTGTTCAGTCAAAGGAACCAATCTTTATCAACCAAAGGGTTAAGAAATTGCTAGCTTAGTTTCTAAATGTTATCTTTATTATTCTTTTCTCTTTTCTCTCATTCATGTGTCTAAACTTTCATGTTCATTTCAATATTGACTATGAGAGGAGAACTAAGCTCTCATATTCATTCTCTATTCATCTAGTATTTTTCTCAAGTTGGTATGTTTGATCATGCTATGCTTGTCACCATATGTCAAACAAAAAAAAATATTCGACCATCTTTGTCGCGGTAGTTTGACCACCATTTCAAGGTTCAGTTGCACCTCAAAAGCACAATCCAATCCTTGTGGTCTGCATTTTAAAACTGTCAGACGAGCATCAATTTGTAGTCTTCTTGTCCCGTCCCGTGAACATTAGATTATGTTCAACCAGACTGATAGGGATATCAGTAGGGAATTGCGATTATGTTCAACCAGGATCGATATGGATATCAGCAGGTAACATTAGATTATGTTCAACCATAACTGATAAGTATATTGGCAAGGAACTTTATATTATGCTCAAACAAGACCAATAGGGATATCAGCAAGGAACTTCAAACTTTGAAACCTACACTTTTAGGAGAAAACATAAGAAAACACAATATAAGTACGAATGTCCTTAGGGTAAAATGTAATTAATTTATCAGTGAACAATGCTAGTTTTACTATATTTATGGGCTTTTACATGATTGGGCCTAACCCACGTGGACAATCAATCACCTTGATTATTTGCTTAATGTTTTGCTAACATGCTTTAGTTTTAACCTTAGTTTACCTCCAATTTCGCAACGTCTTGGCATTATAGTGGCATTGGTGCTAATATCGAGGGATATAGGCCAGAATATCTTGGTCGGGTACCCGATTGATCTCAGCAGGCATGTTGGTACAACCCATATTTTTTGCCCCTTTTTCCTACAAGTTGAGCTGTTTTGTATCTTTTATTCAATAGTGAAAAACATTACCTTCCTAGTATATGTATAAATCATTTTAGCTTTTACAACGTTGGTTCCTCCCAATTGCAGGCTCATACCATGAAAATTACTTCGTAAACGAGTACCCAAATTATTCAAGGATTCCAATAAAGTTAAATGTCAAGCTAGCTAGAAGGAAAGAAACATCAAAGTCCTTATGATACTAAAGCTGGTTTAGATTTAAAATTTAATTTACAAGGATACACCTTCAAGGAATAATTTTCTAGTATCCAATTCATGATGAAACAAGTCAAACCATATAAAAGGGATAGAATGTACTTACATGCCTGCAGCACAACAGTTGTAGGCAGAAATTGACAACCTTCGTTGACTAGGCCTCCAAGTTTTTCTCTCACAGCACCAGGCCAGTGTGGTGTTCCCTCGGTAAAACATCAGACCAGAAACAGAACAAGATTTGCTGGCAAACTGAACCAGAAACATCAAACAAAAAAAACAAAAAAAAAAACCAAACACATTGTTTTTTGTTCCCCCCCACCCCCCCCCCCCCCCCCCCCCCCCCACCCCCCCCCACCCCACCCCCCCCCCCCCACCCCCCCCCCAACCCCACCCCCCCCCCCCCCCCCCCCCCCCCCCCCCCCCCACCCCCCCCCCCCCCCCCCCCCCCCCCCCCCCCCCACCAACACCCCACACCCCCCCCCCCCCCCCCCCCCCCCCCCCCCCCACCCCCCCCCTCCCCCCGCACCCACACAAACCCCCCCCCCCACCCCCCCCCCCCCCCCACAACCCCCCCGCCCCCCCCCCCACCCCCCCCCCCCCCACCCCCCCCCCCCCCTCCCCACTCCCCCCCCCCACCCCCCCACCGCCCACCTCCCCCCCACCCCCACCGCCCCCCCCCCCCTCCAACCCCCCCCACCGCCCACACACACCTACACCCCCCCCACCCCCCCCTCCACCCCACCCCCCCCCCTCCAGCCCCTCAACATTTTTTTTTTTTTTTTTTTTTTTTTTCCCCCCTCCGCCCCCCCCCCCCCCCCCCCCCCCCCCCCACCCCCTCCCCCCCCACCCCACCCCCCCCCCCCCCCCCCCCCCCCCCCCCCCCCCCCGCGAAACTTGATGAAGTAGAGAAACATATCACAATACTAAAAGATGTAAAATATGGTACCAATAAATATATAAATTCATCAGAAAGCTTCTCAGAGATGTCATCAATGAAACCCAGATGATCAACTACACCAGGCAAGGGCTTCTCTACATTTGCTCCGGCTTTAGCAATATATTCAACTGCTCTTTCCTTTGCTCTGCGAAGCTCCATAACTAAGCTCAAGACAAGAATCATGAATTTGACTACTATGTATCTAGTACATGGTTTTGTTTCAAGATATTTGTACCGTTATTTCGAATAAACTGCAATACAGTTGTCATTTCCCTGTTAGATTTTACAGCATAAAACTTGTTACAGGGATACCCCTGCCATAGCAGTATCAATTGCAGGTCATAAAACGATCCTATTGCTCTCTTATAACAAAACAAATGTAAAACCCAAGACACTGCTGATGATTTTTCTTTTTCCTATAAATAATTAATTTCCACTAAGATTTAATAAACATTGTAGAAACTAAAAAGACAAAGGCAAAAGCAAACCACTAAAATAGGTTCCAGGAGATGGCCATGCTCAGTAGAAAGAAAGCATCTTTGCCCATCTATTTGCTTCACGACTCCCATGCACTCAATCTTATCGTCATAAGTAAAAGACACATCAAATGGAAGATCAATTGCTGACAAACCTCTGTGGGAAGTCATAAAGACTATTCCACAGCTTTATCTCATTATTACAGCAATTGGCACACCTATCCTTGTAACCACAACCTGAAAGCCATCTTTGCGAAGGAACCCTTAACTGGCCTGGGGAGGATCAGGAAGAGTAGTCAAAATTTAACGAACTAAAACTCATAGGTTTTTTTTTTTCAAATTCATTGACAAAAAAAATATGGTTTCGAAAGACAAGGAGATTTTTTATTAGAGAACATCCAAATGTGATGAAAACTTAATCTTAAATCATATTTTTAATTCATATACTCAGATCCCAATCCCAACAAATACTGTAACAAGTAATGCTCTTAAGTCCAAACCAACAAATTGTGATTTGTATATCAGAAAGTAAGAACAACATCAAAAAGTATTTTATTTAGTTCATATCAAATCCTGAAGAAAATGAATTATAGAAACTTTGTTAACAAATTGAACTGTTTATTATTTCCACTCTTACGAAAAAAATCCTTACAAGATTACTTATAGGCAACCGCTTACAACAAAAGCTATTGTTAGTATCAGCATACATAGAAAAGATAACAGCTGTAACAGACTACATAATACAACTAATTATTCACTCTAACACCCCTCCCAAAACTCAAGTAGAAACGGAGGACTAAAATGAAACCTAAAACTCAGTGAAAAAAATAGAAAGCCATATTAGTTCAGTAGATGTTTTAGCCAAACTTCTGTACTTTTGTGCTAGAACAGGGATTAACTTGCTGCTTGTGGGGCCACCAAGATATTAAATTGGAACCCATAACGATGGCTACTCCTGAAGTAGAATGCTTACAATCAATATTAGATGACCAATCAGCATCACAAAAGGCTTTCAGTAACAAAGGAAGGGCAAGAGTTGCCTCATAATGTCATCAATCACATTTTATCCTTCCATAATTAGGAGATTATATTAAAGTGTATAACAGAAACATCCCTGAATCGTACGGATCCAATTATATCCCTAAATCATAGGGATCTGATTACATATTTATTGTTATTGTATATCTATATTAGTCCTCCAATCTTGTATTTATGTCTGATGTATTTTTAGTAATAAAAACATTCTATTTTACCCGAATATTTGAGATGGTATCAGAGCGTTCAAAGTCTGATGTAAAGCTTCATAGAATTAACATTCCATACATATTGAATGGAAAAAATTATTTGGCTTGGTCTCAACTTGTTCAAACTACTTTAAAAGGTAAAGGAAATCTTAATAAGTGGGTTTATGTCAAACTCAACCTCACAAAACCATGTTCTAAGATGGAAATTGCACACCACCTATATATTATAATCTTGTATTATTCTTAATCAATGTTAGATCTCCAACACACTCTCTCGCCTAGGAAAAAACAATTCAAGTGTGAAATTAGATAATTATGGACGATCTAACACGAGTCTGAAAACAGTGGCCTAATAGCCCCAACAAAAATGACTAGGAACAGTGGCCTAATAGCCCCAACGAAATTGACTAGGATCCTGAATAGATATGATACGATCTTGAACCATATAAGAAAATAATGAATTATTTTATTGATATTTGTTAGACATGGAAGTAATGAGAGGGTTTGGAAGATATTTAAAGATAAAAGTAGTATAATGGTTAATTGTTGTTACAAGGGGAGACTCTCTAGGAAAGTCTATATATTCTTGTCTTGTGGGATGTCGGGGGACAGATTTTGAGAGTTGATGTTTGTGAATAGGAGAGCTAAGCATAAATATTCCAAAGCTAAAGATGTTGCCCAAATATATGAGGTGAAGGTGAAAATTGTGGCCACACAACAAGGAAACAAGATGTGTGGTTAACCAGAAAAAGGGGCGAATAACTAATATGGAGAACAAAGATGAAGGTGTGTGGTGTGCGTGTACCTATTGCAACAAACCTCGTCAAAGGTCTGAAAAATGTTGGAAGTTGCATGGAAAGCCACTTAGCAAAGATTGATCTCCACATAACCGTGACAAGGAGTGGAAAAAAAGGATACAACATAAGATAGGGAGGATGGGCACACCATAGATGTTAAAACTATAGAAGAAAGCAAAGGAAAATTGATTCAACTCAATCAAGATGAAATAGAGAAAACGATATTCCTCAACAAATTGGATAAACCAACATGTACTTGTTCACTAGCATATTCAAGGACGTTCGGAAAGATTTCTTTTGTCAATGGACTGAATGTCTCATATAGATTATATAATGAATATTGGATACTAGATTCAAGTGTCATTGATCACATGACACCCCAACCAATATCAGATATGAAGACCCAAAATCCTCTATGAAATTATAACAAAATCCATAATGGGTTAGGTGAAAGGATTACATTCAAAAGAAATTCAATATATGCAAGAAAAGAGAAAACAGAAAAAATAGGTTTCTCTCATGGGCTGTTGCACATTAGGGTTTCTTTTGTGTAGCTGCACATCTACCTTATCCTTTGCTTTCAAATCGGAACCACTTCTCTCCACCTTTTTCGCCATCTCCATTCCACCTTCACATTTCGTGATGCAAAAAGTGGTCGCCATGTGAAACCCACGTTGCCACCACCCTACTCTGGCGGCAAACTGTAAATCTGCCACCAATTTCAGCCATGGCACCATCATAACAGATTTTCAATAACACCAACCCTAACCTAAAAATTTCTCCTACTACAACTCTTGCCCGGGTAATAAGAAAATATTCACAACAGATTCCACTTCCAGTTGCTGCAAAGCAATGAGAAGTTAAAATGAACTCATCCATAACCCTGAAAATGTTCTTTATTTTCCCATATTATTCTTCAGTTTGATTTACATTAAGAAACTCATGGAAGACCAATCATGTAATGTCTTTTAAGATAGCATTTGTATGCTACAGGATAAGCACAAGCATGATTGGATATGCTAGAGAATGGAGTGGCTCCATTATTTGGACAACTTAAATCATACCCCAAAACTACACAACAATAGCAATAATATTTCATCTTCTGATTTGATAAAGACCAAAAGGGAGAAGGTCCTTCTACACCATTGTTAACTCGGACATCCTTCATTTAAAGTCATAAAATTGATATTTCCTTCCCTATTGAATAATACGTTTTAAAAAACTATCGCTAAATATTTCTTTGCATAAATAAATTTTATGTGATTTAAGTATTTCATTTAGCTTACAGTTTGTGATAAGATTCAATTCACTCACTTCAGAAAATAGATCTTGTTATTCACAATTCAAATCTTGATTTGAAAACAATGATGATTAGTTTGATTTCTCATTATGTAAACAACAGAAGGGAAAATGGAGCGTTTGATATTTTCTTTCCTCGGCTTTCAAATATTTTCATGACTACAGAATGTAGAAAGCCATTGACATAATATATTTCTCTTACCACCATAATCCGTAAATTCCTTTGGCAATGCTGAAATGAAAAGCAAAAGAATTTCAAGTGGAATATCAAATGCGCACACCACACAAACAGCAGCCTCCAGAATTTTGCCACAAACTGTAAACATCATCAAGGCATAAGTTGACCTACATTGTGCACCCTAAAATTTATGGTTATCAAATGAATAATTCAAGCAGAGT